TCGAATTCATTAGGTTTAGGGCAAGTAATATCACGGAAGGGAATATCTACATATTGTGCAATTTCCTTGTATAGTTCCTCCTGTCTTTTTAGCGAAAGTAGTCTAGTACTAATTACATAAGGTAATATATTAGTATCAAAAAAAAAAGAACGAATTGTCATATTTTTGTACTCATCTTCTATTTTGTTTTTAAAAAAAACTACCCCGGGGTTTCGTGATGTAAAATTAAAATGATAATATCTGTGAATATTGGGTAGTTTTTTATACATCTCAAAATACTTTTTAAAATTATAATACTGAAAACCTTCTCCATCTAAATAGCGCTGAGCAACATTAAAATTATTTGTGGTCGAACGATTAACAATTGAAACTATATCATCCACAGTATTTACTTTACTTTTCCGATAAAGAATTTTAATTAGACCAAAACAACCATCGCAAATGAACTTTGTGTGTCCAGGTATCATAAAATTTAATTCAACTTCCTCATACATACCACGATCAATTAACCACGAATAAAAGAATAATGAGTAATTATTCTTATTTTGACCTACACAATTGTCACACGTAACGATTAACTTTTTTTCCCCACGATTATATTTTTGGATCGCATGCCACACCAAACTTAAAGTGCAGTTTACTCCTTTTCCTTGTTTACCATCATCAGGCATTTCAGCCTCGTCGATTATATAATTTATTTGCTGTGTATTAGGATAGTTGCCTGTGTTACAAACACCAAACAAATGTGCCTTACGAGAACTTTTAAAAAATAAAGATCCAATTTGTTGCGGTGAATATGGGATTTGTAAATTTTGAGCCCAGTCGTATGTGATATGTGCACAACCATCGAAGGTTTTAAATGATATAAGAGATTTAGTAAGGTTTGGATTACGTTTACTATCTTCAATCGCATTTGTTATATTATTATTATAATAATCACGTTCTTTTTGTGCGCGGTTTAGATGAGCTATATAATTTTCTGTAAGTTCTACTTTTTTTTCATGTTGCGTAGCATGCTGAATTTCCATTTTCATTGTTTCACATAATTCACACAGATCAGATTTTGGAGACATAAATTGAAGCGATGGTATTAAAGCCTTCCAGATTCTAATAAAGGTAGTTTCAGACATAACACGAGTATTATTTCCATGCTTATCTTTATAAGCCCGTACATAATCGTGATATACTGAAGCATAGGTGTAGCTAGTTGGAAGAAACACAATGGGCATAGTGATT